ATATGGGAGTATATATGCTATTTCTTGGCTTTGCCCTGTGCTGCCACAGCTTCCATGGCTTTGCGAACAGTTTCCTCGTCTCCGAGGAACTGCATGGGCTTGATGGGCTTCAGGTTCTTGTCCAGCTCATAAAGAATAGGGATGCCTGTGGGCAGATTCAGCTCCATGATGGCCTCCTCAGACATACCTGTAAGTGTGAAGAAACAAACTGAGACTATGGAAGAAATTAAATTGAAATAATCTGTGGTGACTCCACAAGTCATTTTTATATTATCCATTTTAATTTTAAAGTTTGAGTAATTTTTGTGTTTTGTTTTATTAGTTTTTTTATGTGTCTAAATAGTTTTTATTAATTTAAGTTACTTTAGTACATCAAGTTTAATTAAATGAAAATGAGAAATGCCTTGGCAACTAGCTTACATTTAAAAAATAAAAAGTTTTTATTTTATTTGATTTCAGGTAACGTTACTTTAAAAAATCTTTATGAAAGATTCTATTAATTTCCATGACTTTTCCAGATATGGAAATCATATTTAAAGGATTTAAATAATGGTGAGAACCTTGAACAAGGGATTGAAATTATACTGTGGGATAATTACCTTCTAAGTGCTTCACAATGCCTCTCAAACTGTTTCCATGAGCAGCAATCAACACTCTCTTTCCCTCCTTGATTTGAGGCACAATCTCCTCATTCCAGAAGGGTAGGGCCCGTGCAATAGTGTCCTTCAGACTCTCACAAGAAGGCAGCTGGTCCTCGGTCAAATCAGCATAACGTCTGTCCTATAGAAAGACAAGACATCCCACAAGACAAAATTGGTGCATGCATTACTCAAATGTTCTATAAACATATCACCACCGTGTAATAGTTCTGCTCTTTTAATCTAATAGAAATTCTTGACATGTTAGTTTGTTCTAGGTCAGGGGTCGGCAACCCGTGGCTCTTTCATCCCTCTGCAGTGGCTCCCTGTAGCATGGGTATACAATACGCGGGGGAGGTGTCCTCCTGACTTTTAATAAATCCTAAACTCTTCCCATTCACTTTTTCTTGGGCAAGTGTGTTCACATAGAGGTTTTCAAGGGCCAATGTGAATAAATCTAGATTTAAATTAAAAGAGACAAGATAGTCACGTCGTTTTGGATACGTTTTATTCTTATCCAAAACGATGTGAACATCACAGAGTGCTGAACACTCTCATGCGCTGTGTTTCATTCATACTCGAAGCCGGAGGACACTCTCGTACAGAAAGTTCAAAATGGACTCATGATAGAAGTAACTTTTGACGCCAGGAAATCCCTAATATGGACAAAGGCATCGCTGTAGCTAAGCTGAATAACAAGCATAAACCTTAAGTGATGAAACGTGAAGAAAATAAACGATTGCGACAATATATGGTTTATATGTGTTTTTCAAGTCTTTTATATGAATGATACAGTAGTAATTGACATAGCATTAATTACAGTACAGAAGCTATACAATATATTTTCTGTCTTATTCTATGATAAAAATTGAAAAAGTCTTTGTAGTATATAAAGTATTATACTGATTATACGATATATGATTATATAACCATCAAATTTACATTAGTAAAATATATATAAAAAATATTATAGAAGACAAATGATTGGTTATTGTCCAGCAGTGTATTTTATTTCTTAGCCAATTAAAAGTAAGAGATAAGAAATGTTATTTTTTTGTAAATTAGACATACATAAATAAATATTATTAGGCCTATTATTATTATTATTATTATTACTACTACATTTGACATTTCTGTCCCCCTCACTTCTGAAATGATTGCTACTCCCCTGCCCTGTAACATAACTGAATATAACACTTTAGCTTATGCTGTGTTATCTTTATTTGGGGATCAAATATTTTGTGGCTCCACGTGAATTTTATTTGGTGGGAAAGGGGCCAAAATGGCTCTTTTGACGTTGAAGGTTGCAGATGCCTGTTCTAGGTCATAGGAAAACCAGAGTTTTCCTATGACCTATGAAATACTATCAACATTTGTAAGCGGTTTCCTATACAAATAAGGTTTGAACTTTGTTTTCTGAGTCTTTGCACTGATTAACTACTAGGACGTCAATTTCAATGTGTAACATCAACATGCTGCAACAAATTTGGTTTTCAGACTCATGAGTTGGTATAATGCATGTTAAAATGGATGTATGAACTCTATGATTTTCGTTGTATGGGATGTAAGAACGCAGATAATAAAAAAGTTGATAGGCATGCTGTCATCATGCAATTTCATCCATTCAGAAAGCTAAAAACTAAGTACATCCTCACCATATGCATTTATACACTTATGAGTCATGTCTTATATATTTTGAGAATCTATGGAATCTAAGAAGGGGGAGTGGCTAATTATGAAGACAAATACATCCAAAATATGCATTTGAATGCAACAAATTGAGGGTTTAAAGTACCATAATGAATAAAAGATGCTGAAGACCCCACCTTGCTGATGATGCTGTAAAAGTCATGATCTGCATCCATAGTCGGTGGAGGGATGTCATAGGAGCGCCTCCAAATCTTAACCTGGGCTTCACCATGCTTGGCTGCAGTCTCAGCCTTGTTTAACCCAGTGAGACCACCATAATGGCGTTCATTCAGGCGCCAGGTCCTGTGCACAGGCAGCCACATCTGATCAATACTGTCCAAAACAATCCATAACGTCCGGATGGCCCTCTTCAGTACCGAGGTATAACAAATGTCAAACTCAAACCCTGCATCTGCAAAGACACAGTATATGGAACACAGAATTCAACATAATACAACTTAATATATTATGATAGTAATTTATTTTTCTTATAATTAAAATATTATTTAATGCACATTTAATACAGCATAGCCCTAATACGGAATTAAAACTATACAAATTAATATTACAATAACTTATTTTAAAAATTTAGAATATTAAATGTAGATAATATTTTGTTATAGTTATTAAAATAATATAATATTACATTATAATTATTAAAATATTCTAATTTATAATATATATTATATACAAAATGCATAACTGTAAACGCGTCAGTCACTTTATTGCATCCCTGACTGGAAAATTCAGCATGTGAACAAAATCACGTCCTGTGTTGCACGTTCGCATCAGATAGGCCCCGCCCTCTACCCGTCAGTAAAAGGAAAACCGCCAGCTTATTGGTTCAGATCGTACACGCGTCATGTCGGAGGCGGGGCTGTGCCGGGCATGCACACAGTCTTCTGAAAGTCATTTGAATTTTCCGGTTTGACTTTTATTATTTAAAATGTAAAAATCTCAAAGCAAGCATTAATAAAACAACGTGGGCAAAGGGACACTCAGTTAAGACATAACGCACATGTTCTTTCAAAAACTAAACTAGAGCTAATCTGCTGATATACATAGGACAGCAGATTTACAACGCTCATTCACAAATCATAATGCTGGAAAATATAATACTATACAAACCTTTTAAAGCTTGACCGCCTTTCTTTGCCTCCTGAGCCCCTGTCTCGCTCAGGTCCGCGTCGAACCAACCACAGAAGCGATTCTCCTGATTCCAGCAGCTCTCGCCATGGCGAATGAGAACCAGCTTGTATGCAGCCATTTGAGACAAATAATAAAGGTAGCAGCTAAAGACAGCACAGTGAGCTCTGAGCTCTGATCGAACAGGTTGTTAAGCTCTGTAAAGAGTACTGTCAAAAAGACCCTCCTATCATCTCAGTCCGTAATGAATGACGCTCCGACCTCCCCAGCTCAACGCTCAACCAATCAAAGCCTCGGACCGATGCGCAACCATGTGAAACTGCAAACACGACATGGAAAAAACCGTGACCTTCCTGTATTTTGAATGAATATTTTATAGTAAACCTCCTGCTGTAAACCCCCGGTTCAAAATGTTTTAGTAAGAATAAAAAGGAGTATAATATATTTCATCGTTCATAGTTCATCGACCCTTACCAGAGAAAAACAGTATTATAAATCATTCAACTAAAGGAGGATTGTAACTTCCCGTTAGAGTTCATTGGGTGTATCTTGGAGATGAGGTTCTGGAGAGCCAATCAAAAGTTACTTTTTTAGGTGTGGGCGGAGTTTAGCCAGGGAGCCTGTCTGAAATGAGCAGTTCGAGTGAATGCTGCAGTTGGTATATGAATGAAACATAGTAACTATTAATCTTGAGTATCTTGATAGTAACTATTAATCTTTAACTATACATCTTTGACTTTTTTATTCGAAATGTATGTACACAACTGCAGATCTGACCATAATCTGATGTTAAATGACTCATGATCACTCATTATGAGTAGATGAAAACTGCATTTTGCCACACCTTTTATTCCAGTGGGTATTTTTCTGGGTTGGCTCTTTTTGAAAATCAGCCTACAAAAAGCTATTGAACATTTCCACTGTTATTTATTGCCCAGGAATAAAAACAATCTTGTCACAGTGGAGCCTTCCATTAAACTAAAGACCTTGCCTTGCTTACTTTAGTCTGCATACTTAAGATTTCTGTTGCCCATTACTCTGACTCTGAGTATACACTTAGAAGCAGTCAACGCTTGGATGGAAACAAAGTGACATACATTACAGTATATTTCAGTGAAAACTAAATAAATAAATAAATAAATAAAATATAAGAAAGTTTCTTATTTGTAATGTTTTAACGTTTTTTCTTTGTCGCCTTTTCTTTTTTTAATTTAATCCTATTTCATCTTCTGCATCTCTATCAGCTTTGTACAAAAGTACATTTTAATTAAGAAACAATATCAAAACAATAACATGAATTTTATAGCTGTACAACCATATATTTGCTTAATTTATGTTCTAAAATTATTTTGAACTTTTCTTCTGGCAGGCCGTGCTTTTGTGAAGGATTTGGCGGGAAAAATCGTCACCGACTGATACATCATTACATCTAGATTCTGAGTGAACGTTCAAATCAACAGTCGCAGGCCTCTAATGAGTGTAATTACATTTAGATTGACTTTAATATCTCAACAACTTACGTTGGTCTATTAGCGAATCATATACTACTACTACAACAACAAAAGTTTTCGTTATTTTTTTGAAATACAAAAGTGAGCGTGAACCTGGTCTCCGCCTCACCTGCTGGCAGAGCGGCCGCGGCGCGGAAAGATGCTAGAGAGCGCGGGTGGACGCATGTGAGCTCTTCTCGGCGTTTGATTATTTGTCGTTTTTGCATGATTTTTGTATGGTTTGTGCAGGATGCATCAGGCCATCACATCAGCTCAGATAGCCCACTGGTTTACTGTCGGGGTACAGTTTGCAAACATCACAATCACAGATGAAGTGAAAAAGCAGGCCGAAGCTCCTTCTACTACAGACAGGTATAAGTCATGAGTGTTTTTGCTGATTAAAACTGTTAGTTTTATTATACAGGCTTACTTTAAGAGGGTTCAGAAATATAAACAATAAATATCGATGAGACGTGTGTAGTTATCGCTAATTGGAATAAAAACACGACAGGAGACACGTGCTTTTAGGATAAGTCGATAAGCATGCATTTTCATAAAGTAAATATCAATGCATGATCCTTTGTCCAAGTTTAGTTTTAAAAGGTCTGCCGTACTAAACAACATTTAGCATTTTGTCAGTATATACACTGTTTGTTTAAAAAGACCATTAAAAGTCTCTTAAATCTTTTTGAACCAGGGTTTAGTGTTGCATAGAGAAGTATAAATGTGTGCAGGTGAATTAATATGATTGACAGCTGGTGGTTAACTAGACAATAGACTGGGAGAAGACCCAAGGATACACAATTTCCTCTTTGTGTGTGCATTTGCAGCAGCTCTGTGGAGCAGTTGTCTGAACAGACTTCTCCAGAGAAGGCAGGATCAGATGGAGGAAACCAGAAGAGCAGGAGGCCAGAACTACCAACCAGTAAAGACTCTTTATTATTTGATTTTAGTGATGTGATTAACTAGAATCAGTATTGTACAGTGTTATTAACATAACATCTGTCCTACCACCATGTTTGGCTTCTGTGTTACCAATTAGGATGGAATTGCATAACTCACATTAACAATTCAAACTGTTTTGACACGTGATCTTTGAATTATAGGTCCAGGAACCACCCCGCCTTCGCTCGGCAGTTATGTGTATCCAATTCTCCCTATTACTAAGAACAGACAAGAGGTACGCACATACAGATACAAGGCACATACAGAGGCATTTACTCATAATTCAATAAAAGATTTATGGACTGTATGGACTTTCATGTTTGGTTATGTTATGTATTTTCTTATGTGCATACAGTTCTGCTTGAAAGTTTGTGAACCCTTTAGAATTGTCTATATTTCTGCATAAATATCAGATTTTCATGCAAGTCCTGAAAGTTGACAGAGAACCCAATCAAGCAAATGAGATATACTTTGTCATTTATTTATTCAGGAAAATTATCCAATATTACATATCAGTGAGTGGCAAAATTATGTGAATCTCTAGGATTAGCTGTTAATTTGAAGGTGAAATTAGTCCATCTGTTCAGAGGTGTTTTTAATCAGTGAGATGACAGTGTCAGTGTGTGCCCGGTTTTATTTAAAGAACAAGAATCTATCAAAGTTTGGTCATGTTTGTGGAAATGTATTATGGCACAAACAAATGAGATCTCTGAGGACCTCAGAAAAAGAGTTGGTGTTGCTCATCAGGCTAGAAAAGGTTTCAAAGTCATCTCTAAAGAGTTTGGACTCCACCAATCCACAGTCTGACAGATTGTGAACAAATGGAGGAAATTCAAGACCACTGTTACCCTCCCCAGGAGCGGTCCACCAACAAAGAACACTCTAAAAGCAAGATGTGTAGAAGTCCACTAGGTTTCAAAGGACTGCAGGCTAACTTCTAAGCAACTAAAGGCCTTTCTCACATTAACATTAGTCAGTGTTTATGGGTCCATCATCAGGAGAACACTGAACAACCATGGTGTCCATGGCAGAGTCGCAAGAAGAAAGCCACTGCTCTCCAAAAAGAACATTGCTGCCCATCTGCAGTTTGCTAAAGATCATATGGACAAGCCAGAGAAATACTGGATAAATGTTTTGTGGATGGATGAGACCAAAATAGAACATTTTGGTTTAAATGAGCAGCGTTATGTTTGGAGAAAGAAAACTGCATTCCAGCATAAGAACCTTAACCCGTCTGTGAAACGTGGTGGTGGTGGTATTATCATGGTTTGGGTCTGTTTTGCTGCATCTGGTCCAAGACGGCTTGCCATCATTGATGGAACAATGAATTCTGAATTATACCAACAAATTCTGAAGGAAAATGTCAGGACATCTGTCCAAGAATTGTGGAAGGACCTGAAGCAAGCATAGGAGGAAACCCACCAACAATACGGAGTTGAAGTGGTTCTGTACTGAGGAATGGGCTAAAATTCCTACAAGCCGTTGTGCAGGACTAATCGGCAGTTCCAAGAAACGTTACTTGCAGTTATTGCTGCAAAAGGGGGTCACACCAGATACTGAAAGCAAAGAGTCACATACTTTTGCCACTCACAAATATTTAAAACCGGATAATTTTTCTCAATAAATAAATGACAAAGTATATTTTTGTCTCCTTTGTTTGATTGGATTCTCTTTGTCTACTTTCAGGATTGTGAAAATCTAATTGTTTTGGGTCATATTTATGCAGAAATATTGACAATTCTAAAGGGTTCAGAGACTTTCAAGCAGCACTGTATATCAATCCCTCTTTGTTTTTGTGTGTGTAGTTGGTCTCTCTGATTGAGAATAACTCCGTGATCATCATTCGTGGAGCGACCGGCAGTGGTAAAACCACCCAGCTGCCACAGTTCATTTTGGATCATTATGCCGAAAAAAAGACGCCCTGTAATCTGGTTGTTACTCAGCCACGCAAAATTGGCGCCACCAGCATTGCCCGCTGGGTGGCACGTGAACGCAAATGCACCCTGGGCAGCTTGGTGGGGTATCAGGTGTGAGATGCATGGAGTTGAAACTCTTTACCTCAAAAGTGTGAATAGAATCAATATCTTGAATGGGAAAAAATTAATGATAAAACTGAAATGATAACCATTCTGTATTTATTTATTTATATATATTTTTTCTCCCATATTGTGTCGTACATCCCAAGTGTGGATTATCCAAAAAAAAATAATAAAAAATCTAGGGTGGGAACTATGCATCGGTAGTGAGCATTAGAACTAAAACAAATTCCTCATAAATTCCCTTCCCACAAAACCAAACCTATAAAATAATATGCAGATTTTTTTTATTCTAAGCATAAGCTACTAGACTTACTTAATACTATATACATTTATTTAATGTCTTTTTCTCTGTCTCCAGGTGGGTTTAGAGAAGATGGCCACAGAGCACACCAAGCTGATTTATGTGACCACAGGAGTCTTACTGCAGAAATTGGTGTCAGCCAAAACACTCACGGAGTACTCTCACATCTTCATAGATGAGGTAGATACACAATCTACAATTTATAGACATGGACTACTGCCACATTTAAACAACATTTATTTGATCAAATATACACTAAAACAGTCATCTCTCCACTGTCCTCTCAAAATAAAAGGCACATAAAGCCCATAAATATAACTTTAAAAAATGCTGGTTTGCTGCTCAAGAAACATTTTTTATTACTACTTATGTTGAAAACAATTTTGCTCTGTTTAACATTTTTGTGGAAACCGTGATACATTTTTCAGGATTTTTGATGAGTAGAAAGTTAAAAAGAACAGCATTTATTTGAAATGGACATTTTGTAACAATTTAAAAGACTTTATGATCAATTTAATGCATCCTTGCTGAATAATTAATTTCTTTAAAAATAAAAAAATCTCACTGATCCTAAACCTTTGAGCGATAGTGTACATTTATAGAAACAGTATGTACACTTATCAGGCTTGTGATATTCACAATTCCAAAAGTTCAGTACTTGAAATTATGCCATACTGGTGAAATTGAATGATACCAATGTGACTCTTGCAGTGAAACAAATATGCTACTATAGAAAAAGTTGAATTTTAAAATAAAAATCAATTTAAATGAAAAAATGGCATGTAGACTTGTTTGTATTTTAACCTGGTTCAGGTCCATGAGAGAACAGAAGAACTTGACTTCCTGTTGCTGGTTGTCAGAAAACTGCTGCGGACCAATTCCAGATATGTCAAGGTTTGTTCAGCGCACATACTTTAATTCACAGAATCAGATTTTACACTGTAGGTTTCAGTGTTTTTCCTGGCTCAAAATGAGGCGGAGATGGTACCATCCTGATCATGTGCACACAATGTACCACCCTTCAAATGGCTGAAACAAACACTTTTTACACGCAACGTATTGTAGGTGTTGTAGTAATTATATGATTGAAAAAAATGACAATTACAAAAACAAACCTGTTGAACATTAAATGAAATACAACATAACAGCTAAAAGCCCTTTTGTAGGATAGGTGAACATAAACATAACATTAGGTTGTTAAACACTTCATGAATACACTTCCTGGTCCACATCGCTTTGATCCAATATACAATAATCCACGTAAAGTGTCTTTCTAGAAAGCAAAACATTTTCTTACAACCTTACGAGAATTCTTCTGGTAGACTACGTCATGAAATGCAATAGCAGCAGGGTAACAGGTGCATTAGAGCTAACATTAGCATCAAGCTAAGACTTTTTATAAAATTAATAGTAAGCTTTTACTCAAATCTCACTTCAAACCAGCATTGATTGTTTGTAATAACTTAAGATTGCGATCTAATGTGGATTTTGGTAATATAATGTTGTTCAAGTAAGTTATTTGTAGTTTATACTAAGCTAATAGTTGCACCAGCTTGGCTTCTCTCATGTAAACATTCTTTATTGTTATGAAAAAAAAAAAACGAATGAAAATAACATACAAACCATATACTATCATAATCGTGTGTTAAATATAGGCCCCTATAAAATCTGATTTATTTTTTCCCAAATTCCATTTTTTCTGTTAATTTTTCAGGAATCCTTTTTAATGGTTAAATTACATTTTTATTATGCAATTAATTCTATCTAGTTGAATAAAATCATGAAACATATACAGCTTCACAATAGTTTATTAAAAGTTTAACAAAAATGACATGTTTAGGGCCCTATGAAATGTTTGTTTTTTTCACCATATGTTTTATTGTTACCTAATTCTGTGTTTTAGCATGTCTAATTATTTGAATGCATAAAAACAACTTAATTTATTCAAAATTCTTAAAATAGCCGTATGAAATGTTTCTTTTTTTCCTCAGAAATTCTGTGTTGTGTAGGCTATCTGGTTATCAAATGAAGGCATAAAACATTAATTTAATTTAGCCTATTTTTAAATTATTGAAAATCAAACTTTATTTATTTTGGCCAACAAAGGATATTTACTATTAAAACATGGAAGAAATGTTGTATGATCATTACTTACATTTTTTTTAAATTATTTTAGTAGTAGCAATTTGTACATTCTAATGAACAATAGTAATATTTCAAGTTAAACCGGACTTTTATTTTGATGGATTGCCGTGAATACCTTTACAGTTCTGTGTGTATACGATATGACGCTAGTTTTACTAAGATTAAACGGTAAAATACTCATGAAGTGGCTCTCAGAGCAGTTCTGGAGATGTTTGTGTTTGTTCTCATTTAGTGAGACTGCAGATGCTGAAATCACCGCGAGCATCAGTATGTGTGTAGTAAACGAAACCACTCGTCTCCACCATTCATACAGAGATGATCACATAATTTGAGTTAATGCTCATCAGATTGTGTAAATCAGTGGAAAATGAATAGAAATGATGATTTTATGTAAAGAGATATCAAGTAAACTTTTATAAAAAAAATATCAGCATTTTTCCAAATATGAACTAAAATCTATAATGGACATTGTTCAGTGACGATTGCATGTGACTGCCTGCCTGAGGCGGCACAAAATTTGGTGGAGGTGGTCGCCGCTTCTTAATTCTCTATGCAGGAAAACCCTGGTTTTTACCTTTTCTTTATTTATCCCATTTATCCCACCTCTCATTCTGTAGGTCATTCTGATGTCAGCCACCATAAACTGTGCAGAGTTTGCAGAGTATTTTGGTACTCCGATCCGCAATCAGATGAATCCAGCATATGTGTTTGAGGTGGAAGGAGCCCCATACGCCATTGAAGAGTTCTACTTGGATGAGCTCAAAACCATCCTACCTCTTGGAGTCAATGTATAGGAAGCATAAAATATGCTATATTTTGACATTTTCTGTTTAAATTCCTTATATAAGTGTTTGTGTGTATGTGTCAGGTGGACCTAACCTTCCCAGTCGACCCTTGTATCACAGAGGAGATGTATAATATTGCCATCTCTCTTATCCAGAGCTTTGATGAGATGGAGGCTAAAGATCAAAGGTCAGGGATCACAATGAGAGACACATACTGTTCAAAAGTTTTGGTTAAGATTTTGAGGGGAAAAAAATGTCTTGCCAGTAAAACGGTAGTAGTGCGAAATATTATTACAATTAAAATAACTTTTCTATTTTAATATATTTAAAATTAATTTATTCCTGTTATAGCAAGTTAAATTCAGCAGTCATTACCCTAGTCTTCAGTGTCACATGATCTTTCAGAAACCATTCCAATATGCTGATTGGGTGCTAAATAATTTCTTTATTTTTTTTTTATCATTGTTGAAAAAGTTGTGCTGCTTAATATTTTATTGGAAACTGATAAATTTTTTCCAGGATTCTTTGATGTATAGATGTAGAACATTTATTTGAACTAATTTTTGTAACATTGTAAATGGTCACTTCTGACTAATTTAAAGGGGTCCTATTATGCTCTTTTACAAAGTCTTGATTTTGTTTTGGGGGTGTACTAGAACAGGCTCTCACACTAGGTTGTTCGAAAAACACATTATTTTTCACATATTTTACATTATTACAACACCTCTCTCTCCAGTTTGGCATGAACGACTCTAATAGTTCCTGTATCAAATGAAGGCCCACCTTCTGAAATACGAAATGTGCTGTGATTGGTTAGCTGGGCCAGTGTGTGCTGTGAATGGCAGCACCTGGTTGGGAACTGACATGCCCCTTACCATAGCCGCCTGCGAGCTTCAGTGTAAATATTGCGTCCAAATCAATTTGAGCACGATTTAAATACGGATGATTGTAACCACTCTAAGTTCGTCTGCCTTGGGAAAGCTAGCATGTCTCCGACATAGTGATAACACTCGTTGCTTTCTCTAGTGCAGCTCAACCAGGTCTCATCCTATTCGTCCATATTTGTGATATCACAAATCTCGGAAAATATGCGTTGTAGTCCAAACGAGTCGTTCGTTGTAGTTTGAGAAGTGATTTCTGTTAAAGGGGTCCTATTATGCTCTTTTACAAAGTCTTGGTTTTGTTTTGGGGGTGTACTAGAACATGCTCTCATGCTTGGTGGTTCGAAAAACGTATTATTTTTCACATAATTTACATTATTAAAATACCTTTCTCCCCATCCCGGCACAAACTGCTCGATTAGTTCTGGCTTTGATGAAGGTCCGCCTTCCGAAAAAAAAACTGTGTTGTGATTGGTTAGCTGTCCCAGTGCGTTGTGATTGGCAAACAGCTTAGACAGTGTTTCATTACTGCCACGCCCCTTGCTCTGTCTTTCAACAAAAGCTTTTTGGCGAATCCGGCAGGTACTGTACTCCATGTTGTGGAAGCTGTCCTCAGTAAAATGCGCAGAACACAATAGCAAATTGGGGTTATAATGCTCAGGAACAGTGAAAAAATAAATTGCAACCACTGTTTCCTGACATCATTCACTTTCGGAAGCCCAAACAAAGACGTTTGGGCACGGAGGTGAAAAAAAACTGCGTTTCAGGCGGTCGCACACCAGACGAGATGTGCAGCATCGCGCCACTAATAGTTCCTAATTGCACAGCAGCTCCTTTTTTTCATTTTCTCTGATGCACTAACTCTGCAGCAGCACTTCTTCTTCGTTGTCTCGTCTGATGCACTCACTCAACCAAGCGTTCTAACTCCAACCTCGCCCCTCCCCACCCCCCAACCATTTGAATTTCTGTAGGCGGGAATTATTTTTAATGATATTCTAGTGGGCCGCTTTGTGATATCACAAAGCCCGGAAAACAAACGCTGTAGTCCAAACGAGCCGTTCGTTGTAGTTCTTGAAAAGGGATTTTTTTTTCAAACTAAATGTCTCCCTTTGGAGTGGACTTTGAGATTTGTAACTTTCTAGATCTTTTTAATGCCCGAACATACACACTACACTGACTAAAATTAAAAAAGTGGAAAATGTATAATAGGACCCCTTTAAATAAAATATATCCTTTTGAAGTGGACTTTGAGCTTTGTAACTTTACAGATCTTTTTTTTTTTTGCTCAAACGGCAACTTTACAGACTAACTACAGTTGAAAAAGTGAAAAAGCATAATAGGACCCCTTTAATGCTGTATTGCTAATTATTGAAAGTGTTCATTTCTTTTATTTTTTTAAACACTGACTCCAAACCTTTGAATGTAACTGTATATTTAATATTTTGGTAGTTTTGTGAGGTCAGCAATACATGAAATGCTTTATATCTTTGTTGTATGTGTAAGGATTAAAACTTAATAGAGTGTGTGTGTTTGTGTGAAGTAGGTGCTCTGAGCAAACTGGAAGTACTACTCATCCAGAGAGAGGTAGTGTGCTTGTCTTTCTGCCTGGGCTTGCTGAAATACAATATATGAAGGAGGCCCTCGCAAAACTTGTGCGCAAGAGGTACGTCTGTGTGTAGTGTGTTTAAACAAGTGTACTTGTGTGTTAATGTGTTTTTTTTTGCTCACAGGCTGCAGGTATATCCTCTTCACTCAACTGTCACTTTAGAGGAGCAAAATGGAGTGTTCTTGGTTCCTATACCTGGATACCGGAAGGTAAAATTTACAGTGAAGCCAAAGTCTCTTATTTGTATGTTTAGAGTGTTTGAAGAATGTATTGGTATAAAAGAATGGTATAAATTTCTGCTCTTTGTATTCACAGATTATTCTCTCCACAAACATCGCTGAGAGTTCTGTCACTGTGCCTGACGTTAAATATGGTGGGTGTTTATTTTTACACCTTGTGTGAGTTCTTGAGGTCATCTCACAGTAATAAGTATAACTTATGCATTATTTTGTGTGTTATACAGTGATTGACTTCTGCCTTGTGCGTCAGTTGGTTTGCGATAAGGAGACTAATTACAGATGTCTTCGAATCACCTGGGCATCCAAGACCAGTTGCAACCAGCGTCGAGGTGCTGCATATGAGGGCTGGTGTTCAACAGCACAGATTTACTTGGTTCTTGGGTTTTCTGAAATGCAGTCTATTTGCGTCTCTTCCTGTGCATCTTCTCAGGTCGTGCTGGACGGGTGTCTAAAGGCTTCTGTTACAGATTGGTGAGCAGACATTTCTGGGAGCATGAGATTCCGGATTTCACAATCCCAGAGATGCTGGTAGGGGAGCAATTGCATCAATCAGTGGCAGCAAGACTTGGAAGATCTTCAGAAATAATCTTTGTTTTTTAATTATGAAGCCTTTCTAAGTTGGTTATGGCAGTGTGTATTGATTTGCAGCGATCACCATTGGCCAGTACCTTGTTGAAGGTGAAGTTGTTGGATATGGGCGATCCCCGCTCAGTTCTCTCCACAGCCCTCACACCACCCAACCTAAATGACATCGAAAGAACTGTCCTGCAGCTCAAACAGGTCAATGAAGCTTAGTGGTTGTTGGTTACTGCTTGGTAGTTGGTTGCTAATTTGAACAGTTTTGAATGATTAATGTTGAACTTCCAACCTGACGTTAAAATTACATGATGTATTATGGCAGACACGCAACATTTTTGTATAAGTTTTAAATGTATATAAATTTAAAAAATTGGCTACTCTTTTATGTTCTCAGCTTTCATTTTAGATTTCATTTATAATTTTCATCTAATATTTATATAGTATTTTATTTAAGCTTTATTTTAATTAATAATACATGTTCTTAATTTACATTTTAGTTAACTATAATTAATAACCCTGACCTGTGTGTGTGTGTGTGTGTAGATTGGAGCTCTTTCTGATCAGAGCAACAGTCAGAGGCAATTTGATGGCGAGTTGACATTTCTGGGTCGCGTGTTGGCGCACCTGCCTGTGGATCTGCAGCTGGGCAAGCTGATTGTTTTTGGACATGTGTTCGGCTGTCTGGAGGAGTGTCTTATCATTGGTATAACATTTTGCATATTAGTGTGTGTGAAAATATCTGTATATCAATTATATAATGTCAGGTTGTACCAAGTTGCCAAATTAAAAAAAAAATGCAAAAAATTAGGGCTGGTCATTTAAAATACGGTGAAAAATAACACGTTAAAATTAACAGACCTATGAGGGTCATCTGACATTTAATACAGTTGATTGATGACAAATATGAGGCAGGGCAACTCACTGCATGATGGAGCCTAGAGAATGTAGATAGAATGTCCCTAAAATTCAAGATATGGGGCAAAAATGCCCCTGTTTGAGTTTTTGGCTCATATTTGCATCATATTGTTAAGCAATATCACACGAGCAATAGGCTAAGTGCAATATCACACAAGTGCAAATGTGATACTGATCTTATACAGCAGTTCAGTAGGTAAGAAGTTAATATTGTTGTCTGTATAAGGTATAGTTCACCCACCCAAAAATGACAATTGTGTAATTTACTCACCCTCATGGTCCAAAAGAGTATATGTAATACATTTCATCAAACAAAATATTTCTTGCTGAAGCTACTTTTTTTTTTATGTCTGTTTGATGCTTTACACAACAATGACTTTAAATTATCTTTTGGGAGTAATTTCTCAGCCAAATTTGATGTGTGATTAATTAATCTCCACATGTAATTAATTGGATAAAAAAAATTAATTGCGTACGAGCCCTACTAAAAATATATAAACTGTCTTTCAGCTGCGTCTCTCTCTCTGAAGAGTTTCTTTGCCATGCCATCACTGCAGCAGTTGGCTGGGTACAGGTAGGTTTACCTTTCATCCCACATACACTTCATTGGTTATCTGAATTAGGTTTACATTTGATCCATTTCACCATTTCACTATCTGTACTGTTGTCTCTGTTTGATCTTACAGGAGCAAGCTGAGCTTTGCACAAAATCTTCCAAGTGACTAAGTGACTTTCGTCAATGCCTTCAAGGTATGAAATGCCAAAACTGAGCATGCTCTGTAGACTTTTAGGTTTAGATTATGATCTCATAAAGTACAGTTTGAGTAATGTTTATGAGTGTAAAGTGTAACAGTTTGTGTAATGGTAAATATTAGTTACTACACAGTAGTTTGGTAACAATATTGTTATGGGCCAATATCAAGCTTTTTTTTTTTTCAATTAAAGGCACAATATGTAATTTTTTGCCGCTAGAGGGCGCATATTCGAAACAAAGGCGTAGTTTGATGACGCCGCGACTGAGTGTAGAATCATGGGAGTTGTCGTCTTCATCCCCACAGCCGAAGCAATCCGACGGGACTCGGGCAGAAATCATGTTCATGGACAAGCTAATGTATTAAAGATTTATTAACATCGTAGTATGAAGCAGGGTGAGGCGGAAAGCGAAGGCCGAAGCGAAACAAGGCCTTTGAAGGAGCGTGACACACGGCTCGAAAGCAGCGGAGCTTTTATTATGCCACAGTCGACCGATTCCGCTCCTTCCGGTGGTGCGTATGTGGGATAAAGCAGCGCTGTTTTATACTAGATACATTAGAAAGTTCTGTTAGAATGCTACTCTGTGCCGTCGTCACCTGTCTAATAAAATGCATAGCATATTAAAGCATCTTTGGTGTTTTCTACAAAACTGGAAATCGAGGGTGTATGACGTCAGTGGCAGGTGACACGATGACACTATGGACACGTCCCGTGTCACTAATTAAAATTGTTTATTTCTCTGGATTTAAACATTATTTTGAAACATTTGGGATAGTGTAAGTACACAAGTCTGCAAAATATATAACACTCTTCTAGTGGTTTTTGGATATTTTAATAAAAAAATCTTACACACTGTGCCTTTTAATTGGTCTGTTTTTGTTCTTTTTTTGTTGTTCAGGCCTGGTACACATCTAGAGCTAAAGGAGAGCTCAGACACCCAAAGGTAAAAGCATATGTATTGATCATATTCATGAAGATGGGAAAGGAAACCTTTGGGATTAAATACAAATGATACAAGGTTATTGCCCTCAAAAACCGCTAGATGGAGCCCTATATCAATTATATAATGTCAGGTTGTACCAAGTTGCCAAATTAAAAAAAAATGCAAAAAATTAGGGCTGGTCATTTAAAATACGGTGAAAAATAACACGTTAAAATTAACAGACCTATGAGGGTCATCTGACATTTAATACAGTTGATTGATGACAAATATGAGGCAGGGCAACTCACTGCATGATGGAGCCTAGAGAATGTAGATAGAATGTCCCTAAAATTCAAGATATGGGGCAAAAATGCCCCTGTTTGAGTTTTTGGCTCATATTTGCATCATATTGTTAAGCAATATCACACGAGCAATAGGCTAAGTGCAATATCACACAAGTGCAAATGTGATGCTGATCTTATACAGCAGTTCAGTAGGTAAGAAGTTAATATTGTTGTCTGTATAAGGTATAGTTCACCCACCCAAAAATGACAATTGTGTAATTTACTCACCCTCATGGTCCAAAAGAGTATATGTAATACATTTCATCAAACAAAATATTTCTTGCTGAAGCTACTTTTTTTTTTATGTCTGTTTGATGCTTTACACAACAATGACTTTAAATTATCTTTTGGGAGTAATTTCTCAGCCAAATTTGATGTGTGATTAATTAATCTCCACATGTAATTAATTGGATAAAAAAAATTAATTGCGTACGAGCCCTACTAAAAATATATAAACTGTCTTTCAGCTGCGTCTCTCTCTCTGAAGAGTTTCTTTGCCATGCCATCACTGCAGCAGTTGGCTGGGTACAGGTAGGTTTACCTTTCATCCCACATACACTTCATTGGTTATCTGAATTAGGTTTACATTTGATCCATTTCACTGGATCCTTATCTGTACTGTTGTCTCTGTTTGATCTTACAGGAGCAAGCTGAGCTTTGCACAAAATCTTCCAAGTGACTTAATTGCTTTCGTCAATGCCTTCAAGGTATGAAATGCCAAAACTGAGCATGCTCTGTAGACTTTTAGGTTTAGATTATGATCTCATAAAGTACAGTTTGAGTAATGTTTATGAGTGTAAAGTGTAACAGTTTGTGTAATGGTAAATATTAGTTACTACACAGTAGTTTGGTAACAATATTGTTATGGGCCAATATCAACCTTTTTTTTTTTCAATTAAAGGCACAATATGTAATTTTTTGCCGCTAGAGGGCGCATATTCAAAACAAACGGAAACAAAGGCGTAGTTTGATGACGCCGCGACTGAGTGTAGAATCATGGGAGTTGTCGTCTTCATCCCCACAGCCGAAGCAATCCGACGGGACTCGGGCAGAAATCATGTTCATGGACAAGCTAATGTATTAAAGATTTATTAACATCGTAGTATGAAGCAGGGTGAGGCGGAAAGCGAAGGCCGAAGCGAAACAAGGCCTTTGAAGGAGCGTGACACACGGCTCGAAAGCAGCGGAGCTTTTATTATGCCACAGTCGACCGATTCCGCTCCTTCCGGTGGTGCGTATGTGGGATAAAGCAGCGCTGTTTTATACTAGATACATTTGAAAGTTCTGTTAGAATGCTACTCTGTGCCGTCGTCACCTGTCTAATAAAATGCATAGCATATTAAAGCATCTTTGGTGTTTTCTACAAAACTGGAAATCGAGGGTGTATGACGTCAGTGGCAGGTGACACGATGACACTATGGACACGTCCCGTGTCACTAATTAAAATTGTTTATTTCTCTGGATTTAAACATTATTTTGAAACATTTGGGATAGTGTAAGTACACAAGTCTGCAAAATATATAACACTCTTCTAGTGGTTTTTGGATATTTTAATAAAAAAATCTTACACACTGTGCCTTTTAATTGGTCTGTTTTTGTTCTTTTTTTTGTTGTTCAGGCCTGGTACACATCTAGAGCTAAAGGAGAGCTCAGACACCCAAAGGTAAAAGCATATGTATTGATCATATTCATGAAGATGGGAAAGGAAACCTTTGGGATTAAATACAAATGATACAAGGTTATTGCCCTCAAAAACCGCTAGATGGAGTCCTACTCAATATATGTTTTTATATTTACCTTGACAATTGTCTTGAAGGCACTCAGGCTGCAATATGCTTAAAAACAATGCAGTGTGTACATGTATCAACAGTTAAAGTATGAGACAAGAATGTGTCCTCTGTGCACACTCTTAACACCTTTGTTTTTTCCAAATATCAGGATGAACTGGAATGGGGCAAAGAGAACTGCATTCAGATCAAACGAATCAGAGAGGTAAATACAGTGTGCGCACATACAAAACATGCTCATTTTATACAACATTTGCATTTTATACCCATTGAATGTGTGTTACAGGTGGCAGAGCTCTTTGAGGATCTAAAGAAGAGAGTGTCCAGATTTAACATGCACATCAGCAGCTCCTCAAACCCCACAGACTACACCAGCCTGCACAAACAGAGATTCATCCTGCAGGTACACACAAACAATAATACACTTCACTAAACTACTGGTTTTTAAGAAGGTAGTACTTTAAATCAGCAAGAATGCTTTAAATTGAACAAAGGTGACAGTAAAACCGATTGTTACAAAAAACAATTTCAAATAAATGTTCTTTTGAACTTTCTATTCATCAACTAGGGCTGTGCAAAAAATCAAATGCGATTTTCATGCGCATCTCGTCAGTAAAGCCGGTTCTGTGATTAGTAGTAAATCTCTGTATGGTAAATGCCGCTCCATCTGAAAGCACATGCTGGAGATTTACTACTAATCACAGAACCGGCTTTACTGACGAGATAAGCATGAAAATCGCATTCGATATTTTGCACAGCCCTATCATCAACTAATCCTGGAAAAATGTTTTAACGGTTTCAATGACGATAAATGTTTCTTGAGCACCAAATCAGCGTATTAGAATGATTTCTGAAGGATCATGTGAAGACTGGAGTATCGGCTGCTGAAAATGCAGTTTTGCGATCACTGGAATAAACGGCAGATATAAAATATACTAAAATAGAAAACTGTAATTGTAAATTGCAGATATAATTCACAATGTAACCATTCTTACTGTACTTTTGATCAAATAAATATAGCCTTGGTGAGCTTAAGAGACTTCAAACATCAAAACAATCTCACCGACCCCAAATGTACTGTGTGTGTGACTACACGGAATGTGATCTGGTTATACTTTTTGTCTTTCTGGATTAGGGAGCCATTGCGGGTGCATTCTTCCCAAACTATTTCTCTCAGGGAGAGATTGATGAGCAGCTGGCATCTAAGGAACTTTCTGGAAACGATCCAAAGACCACCATTATGGTACCAGTGTCTCCAGTTACAAAAGTCTGTCAAAAAACTACTGTCATTGTGGAGCAATAGTTTCAAATGAATTTTGTAGAGCAATTTGGATTAAAAAAAAAATTTGTATAGCTAGCTAGATGAATAACACAACTGGTTTAATGCAACAGATTTTGAAGGTAACTTTAAGGTAGTAGCATTTTAAAGGCGCCCCCTTTAGAACCAGAACTGGTACCTCAGACTTGCAATGAATTGACCAATTATTTGTGTACTTGTGTAGATTATGTCTCTGGCCTAATGCCTTTTCTCTCTCTCATTCAAGTACGTATTTCCCCCCCCAGATTTTAAAAAGAAAGTTCTTTATTAAGGCTCAGCAATATAGTGAAAAAAATTACATTTTGAAATGTTTAGAATTTTACCCAAACAGCCATTGTACAGGGCTCTAGATTACGACAATTTGAGAATGTGCGAGTCAAAACTTGATGTGGTCGCATTTGTGCGAGTGCATGGTCTGCACTGCTCCAAAGTGTCTGCTCTGTGCTGCAGAGCTGAGGCACATTGTAGCAGGACTCAGATTTCAATGATCACGTGAAGAGAGGTGCTTTCAGTGCGAGCGCTTCAGGTGTAGAGCCTGGTTTATACTTGCCGCGTCAGCACAAGCGCGAAGGTAAGTAAAAATGACACTAATATTGAGGAAATGATGGCAGACGGAAGATTTGGTTTTCTCACTAAAATAAAGTGAAAGACCACCGCTTAAACCAGCAAAAAAAAAAAAGTGACCAAATGATGTGCTCGTGTGACTATCTGAGAAAGCTAGTTGCAAAAGAGCAACCAGTGGGAAGAATGAGTCTAGAGTCCTGTTGTAGTTAAGTAGATTCAGTATGGTTCCTGTAAAAGGTTAAATAAAATAAAAAATCTGCTATGTATAGATAGATAGATAGATTTGTTCCACAATCATTCATTTATATCATCTTTATAATTGTGGGGTAGAATTAAAACGATTATTAAAACTTTAATTATAGTTATTGTCCTTGGTGTGACTGGGCCGTTATTCTTAACACTCAAATATTTGCTTAAAAAATGAATCCTTGGCAGACGTGTTTTGGCAAATTACTGTCCAAATAAAACATTCATTAAAATGATTGCAGTATCCGTGAAGCTGCTTACATTTGTCGCCAACAGAGTCATTGTGAATATATGGTATATCTCTCAGCTCTCTATTACAGCTGGATTTTCTATGGATTTCAATGAGCCATAATCTCTACCTGCATGTTTCATTGCAGGCACAGGAGTTTTGCATCGCAGGCATGGGTCCGTCTGCACATTCGCTGATTCTGGGCGGTCGTTGGAGCAGCCGGGCACGTAACCGTTTTAAGACGCTCACGAGCAGCCGCTCTGCCATTGTGTCCCTTTATTCCATTCTGCACGGCGTCATGCGTGT